CGCGGTTTGTATGTTGTGTGCGTATAATTTAGGGACATTGTACTGTACAAAGTCCCTACAATCCATACCGGACAAAGCCTAGCGCCTAAAAAAGGGAGATAAGGTTAGCAGTTTGCGCAAACCAGGTAATTGATGAGAGGGGATCCCATCTATTATTTTTCCTTTATTTTTGTTTCCCCACATAACAGGGAACGGTTGATGATGATGATGATGATGATGATGATGATGATGATGATGATGATGATAAGAGCAAATTCCCATCTGTGCCGTCGTTCCCGCTCCAACTGCTCACAAGAGATAACTCTGTGCCTGGGTAACCTTATATTTCCTTCATGTAGCGGCAATGAACTGACCCATAACGATGATAACGATGATAACGGGAAAAGCACATCCGACACAACTCCTCCATTCCTGCGATCCTACCCATGTCCGGAAGCCGCCGCATCTTGGCCAGGCCAGGCCCAGGCCACCACCCGCCCACCCGTGGATCAGAGGATGGCGTACCGGGGAATGGGATTCCAGTCCATCGCAGCCATCCGCTCCCCCAACAAGGCAAGGCTTCCAGAAGGAGTGGATCCAAGATGTCCGCTGCCGCCGGGATGCTGAGTCAGTCGTTAGCAGAGGCTTAGCGACTTACGACCGTTTATTTTTGGGGACAACAAGAGATCTACTGTTGCAGTAACTAAGTTAACTACCACACTCATGTTAACTAGTTAGTTATGATGATTGTTTATTAATCTTACAAGAGGGATTCCGGCTGGGGATGCTCCCATATGATAATAATCTCCGATGAGAGTCAATCCAGATGGGGAGGGGAGAGTCAGCGGGCTTCTTGTTCTCCTGTTTCTTTCTTTCTTTCTTTCTTTCTGTTTCATTTTCCTCATAAATATTATTTTTACTCTTTTCCTGGAGTTTAACTAGCTATGGATGGTTTAAGGATAAAAATAAACCCATATAAAAAGATGAAACACGGAGAAACCGATACCTAACAGACAACAATTGAAACAGGCGCTGTCGGAAAAAACGAAAATTAGCTTCTTTTGAGATCAATCAACTGGTGGTACCTGGCTAAGGTTTCAACTTTGCCCTTGATAACGTCGCGAGCTCCACGGGAAAGGTCGTGTCTTGTCGCACAGCTACGATAAATAATAAATTGGCACATCTTGTCTGTACCAGTAATCGTCGTCTCCCTCGTTGGAGATCCCACTTATCGAGCTTCTCTGTTTCTAACGTTAGTCGTAATTACTCTGGAGTTGTATTTTATTCTTATTATTCCCGTGCGACCGTTGCTTTGCAGAGTTGTAATTCTGGAGCGCTTGTCGTTTGCGGGATGCGTTCGTTTCTGTACCATTTTTTTGACACCCGCTGATTCTCATCGTATTTTTTTTTTTTTTTTTTTTTTTTTTTTCGAAATTATTGATTGTGTCGAGAACCCCCCGCCACAACAAGGGATATTCGCCTGTTGCGCTCTGATGGAGAAAAAATGATGACCTGCCTCCTAGTTACCTACTCCTATTATTGGCTAATATATATCTATATCCTGCTCTCTCGCAAAGCCGAGTAGCACGAGAACCGCACTGAGAGAGCAGTCGTTTGGTCCAATAGCAATCACGCAACATATTCTGGATACCAGAAGGGGCCAGAAGGGCCTTCTCCAGAGCTGGTGGCGGTGACCTGATGTCGAATAACAACGATCATATTGATAAGAGTATGAGAAGAAGGGCGCGCCTGCTTGGGCATGGCTTGTTTTATGTCCCTCTTACGACGGGGAGATGATGGTCACTCACTCAACAATCCGTACGGAGTATTGTCATCATGATATGCGACGAGCAACGAATTACGCGTAACCCTAACGGCATTTCACGTATCGAAGATCGACTCAGCAGCAGCGGTGTTAACTGTTCACTCTACTCCGGAACTTGAAAA